TTTTTTTGCATGAAAGGAACTCTAGTTAACAATAAATAAATTATCAATGTATTGCTTTTAAACAAACGCAGAGGAAACAGTGTGCCTGTCTAACTACATAGCTACCTAAATATCAAGCTAGAACTGAAAAGATGCAAAGTCTCTCTAGCATGAAGAACATTCTGTACATGTTTGCTTGGATTCCCAGGGCTGCCATTTCATTAGAAATCCAATAGATTTATATCAAAATAGCAAAGGTCAAACTCAGCATTATACTCCAGATGTAATTTGAGTACATTTCTCCATCTAGTTGGGAAGGTGTTCTGACAAACTCCCCCGCCCCAAACCTAAATAATAACTAGAATATGTTTTAAACTTAATGTATTTACTCAATGTGGTTTTCAACTAAGTTATGAATTTATTAACTGAAACCAATAAATTTTTGACCTCTAGTGAACAGCATTTCAAATGTTCACATAACACACAACTGCAGGCTGGGGATTAGCAAGAATCTTTCAGTGGGACTTTGCTTCTGAAAACAAACAGCTGATGCTGGAATTCCTGGGATTTTTCTAGGGCTGTAAGTTTAGAATTGCAAACTAACATAATTTTCTGCTAAAAGATCAGGTCATAAAACTGTGCTTTACTTGTACTTACTGAAATTTTCTTACTGGTTCAAAGCACAGGCAGAGAATCAATTAAACCAATTAAAACCAAAATTTAGTAAAACTTAATAGTGTTGGTTTGAACTTGTAAATGAAGACTGCCCAGTGTGCCGAATATACAGCCTGGTGAAAAATCTCGATTGGATTGCTAATACAGTGTCACTGAAAGCACTTGTTGGGGCGAGGGGAGGGGGAACCACACCAAAACCCCCCAACCTTCACAAAAAACCCCCACAAACCATGCTTTGCATATTTACATGTAGTTAAATGCATTTCCTAATTTGATAATACTGCAGTCTAGTCATTTTTAATCCAGTCCAATGGCTTGTTAGTGCAAATCACTACTCGGCTGCCATGCAAAGAATTTCCTACTCTACAAAAAACTGACATACAGAATGTTGTCAGATTTATTAAATGTGGCATGAATGGAAATGGAAGGAATCAATGATCATGCTCTATTGTTTTAAAGTAAATTGTATTAGTCATTAATTCTCACTATTTACCACTGATTAAATGTTGATATTGTTGGGTAATGAAGGGGGGCGCATGATGTGTGCATGAAGTACCTTATATCCAAGCCAGTAAGCCCAAATAACAGCAATAGCATGTCTATTTCTAGCCTCCTCCTTCAGTCGTCTCAGTTCCCTTCGCGCCTGTGATGCATTTGAAAATGGGATATAGAAAAGCTTAGGAAAGAAAAGGTTACTGCAAGTTCCCAACGGTGCAAGAAAGAAAGAAAGAAACCATTCACTACAAACAGCAAATATTAAAGCGTGTCCCAGCTTCCCAGATTGCACCAGCTAAAACATGTTAGCAGCAAAGAGAAATATAAAAATTGGTAGTTTAAGCCACTGAAAATATTCCCAGATAACTTTATGCTGAAGGGCCACCTTCAGTCTATGTAGAGACGATTAAGTGCACAATTTATTGCCATTTTCTTACCTGGGTACCATGCCAATAAGCAGCAATTACTGTGGCAGCCTCATTACAACGCTTCTGATGCTTAAGTTCCCGAAGAAGTTTCCGAGCCTGTAAACAATTGAAAACATTATTTCATTCAAATAAATCATTTCTTAACATCTTAAACTAAGGCACTGCAACCTGTAAGTCTAGGCAAAACCAAAACACAATGCCTCCAAATCCCCAAGCAAATAAATTCATAAATGCTACGCAGCCTATTTGCTGTTCCAGGGAGGATTCTGTGCACAGGTGAGAGCATTGGGACTGGCAGTTCAGGGGATCTTTGTTCAATGTTTCGTTTCCTCTCAGATTTGCTGCATCATCTGAGACACCTATATGTCTGTCTGCACACTGGCAATAATACTTTTCCTCCACATGGTATGTGTCTTATCCACTTAGACTGCAATAAAGAATAAATCACAAGTAAATTGCCTGGTTTTGGGTCACACGTAAGGCTGCTGTCATACCAGGCTTTTATCCATGGCAGTGCTACCACAAAAGAGTGTGTTCTCCAATGACAAACAGAAAATCATCTCTCAAGATGAGATGATGCTTTTACCCAGTTTTCTTCAAATAATGCTCATGGGAAAAGACAGCACATCAATAATTAGACTGAAAGGATATTTTTAACTCATTTAAACAAAATAATAAAGACAAAGTAAAAATCAAGAAAAACAGTAAAATCAAATTATGCTAGCTTATTGCTGGCAAACTTTAAAACCTCTTGGGCAGGAGAGGGCTGTTTACACCTATAGCTAGTAACTGCAGCCTGTCTGCAGGGAAGGAACTGACTCCAGAAAAAAAGGCAGTTCTCTCATCCCTAAATAGAGGAGAAAGACACATTTAGTGAGGTAGAGAAAGGTTAATAAGAAAACAGAGGAGCCCAGGGACATTTTTTCTGAAGCTGGACAACAGTATTTGCTTTAAGCACCGTGGCTGCTTTCATGTGAGCTGTTAACCTCATTCTTACCTCTTATTACAGCATCACTCCTTAAGTCTCTACTATGGCTGCAGAATTATCCCTTCACGAAGTACAAACCTCTCAGAGAAGCAGCAAAGTTGTACCCAATTGAGGCAGAGGACAAGCAAACAGTGATAAAGTACTTGCTCAACACAAGTTTAGTACGGCACACTTTACCCCCTCCTACTCAGCACACAGAGAATTGAAGACTCAACCCAAGTAACATACTGCCCAGGTGACCCAAACTCTTTATTTTAAGCCTGCTTTCAATTTTGTTCATTCTTTGAGAATCCTCTTAACTGTAAAATAACTCCCAACCACAATTTATTTCTTCCAAATCAGTCCACTGTTACAGTTATCATAAGCCCTGTGGCAGAGTCCTGGACCATCCCACTCTGGAGCTGCTGGGCTGCCTGGTTAGTGTGCACCTAGATCTGCTCTGAACACCAGACTCACTCATTTAGACTCAAGTGCTGAAGCCCATGTAGAGAGTGGGCCCATGTAAAGAGGGCTTCTCCAAATTCTCTGGCAGAAGATGTCCCAAGGATAACCCAGTAGTTTGGTGTGATCCCAGCCTTCCACTTGCACCGCTTACAGGTATTTAGAGCCCAGGCTCCATGCAGATATCCCAAACTCACCTCTTCTATGGCAAACACAAGTGTTTAATAATAGTTATGGCACAGCTCAGTGGACAGAAGACAAGTGTTTTCTGACCTGCCTCCTTACCTCACCATGCAGACATAGCCACAGTAACAGGAAACTCACCTTCCAACCTCTGATGTAAGACTGTACTATGATAGCTGAACGCTTTATCTTCTGATACTTTTTTTGTTGCTGTGTTGGAAATAAATATATGATGCTTAGAACAGAATATTGCAACTGTAAAATGTTGTATAATAAAGCTTTCATTACTAACATTTGAAAATATGATTAAAGATACAAGCACTAAATGTCAAATGTGAACAATTTTTGAACAAGCAGATCAGAGCACAGATTGTGTGTTTAACTCAAGGGGAAACAAAGCACATCAACAATGTTGCATGGACAACGTCACTCACTGTTTACAGAAACACTAAGTTCATGGTCAGCAGCACAAAAGTGACATGGATTAAATACTAACAGTAACAGCTTAATTTGTCTTTCTCACCAGCAGAGTAGCACAGAAACGGTCACAAATGCTCAGGTTTGTTGGCTAAGCTTTTTACCATCTTTTCGTAAGACCTGTGCTGTTCCTGTTACCCACAGTTCTTTTATAATACCAAATGCTGATGATAATTTAGGAATAGGAAAAAAACGCCCATGGATTCCTGAATGACATGCTGGATTATTATCCAATATGCCGGTTTGAAGAATAAATTTCCTGAAGCTCAGTTCTCCAGCAGACCAGTGTTGTTCACTAAGTGAACAACAGTTGATAGACTTTGCAATGAGGCTTTTTAACACCCCACTCAGCCCACTCAACTACAGTGAACATCTCTGCGAGCGAGCTAGAGAGAATCCCCTCCAGGCCACATCAAGGGCTTATTCCTGCCATGACTGACGTCTGCCATGCCTTGTGAGGGAACAGACAGACAAGTATCTGCAGATCCTTCAGCCAAGGAAATAACTCTATCATCACCTGTAAGTAATTCTGAGGATCTTGCTATGAATTCACCCTGCATTCAAAGACAATTGCTGCCATGTTTCATCAGAGAACCAACAGAGGTCTACAGTTAAGAAATCAACAATGAAGTGAACTTGGTCACGTATTTGTTTCCATTTCTTTACATTAAAAGTTGTGCCAATCTAGCTGTAGTAACTCCCTTTCACTAAGATTGTATGAGACCATAATGAAGCCATATGGGCAAAATACAATTCTGCAGTGATGCTATTTGCAGAAATGGTGCATTCAATCGCAGAAGTTCAGAGAGAAGAGTTTTTACAGGGAAAAAGCATTTATTCATACTTTTTCCAAATGATCTATACTTCTCTCTAATTATCCAAGATAACGGAACCACCAAACACAAATGGCTTTCAAGATGATAAACAGAAGTGGTTGTCAACCAAAAAACAGTGATTGTCAATTCTGCAACTTGCAGTTTAAGAAGATGCTTTCTTCCCTATCATATATTGTACTAAGCTTTCTGATTTACATACAATAACAAAATACAGCTGAGATGTTTAAGAACTGTTTTAAAACTCCAAAAACAATAAACCTTTATGTTATTTACTAACTGATGAAAAGACATGAAAGAGTCACATAACCGTATTGTTCAGTTCATGACACAGAATACCCAGTCTACAAACAGATTTGAAACTGTTTAAGAACTGTATCAATAACAACTACTGAACTTCAAGCCTTATGAGCTATAATTAAAATAAATCCCTGGGGTCGTCCCGAGCAGCAGTCTTGAACCTCAAATGCAAAGGTTCCAAATAAGGCAAAAATACAAAAAGCCTTAGGAATGACTGAATTCCACAGAATTGCACATGCATATTACCAAGCATTTTTTACACATTAACCATATGTTTTGAGAGCACTTTAAGTGCTAGGCAGCACAGCATTTTAGCTGAATGAAAAAGACTCTTTCCAGCTGGGCCACAAAATCTTGCTCTCCCAGAGCTGAAGAACTCTGGTAAGCTTTTTAATTGTTTAAGCACATGCACAAAGTAAATACTTAATAGTGGTCTCTAGAAACGAAACTTTCTTTTATTCACATTTTTGGTACTTACATACCACTGTAAAATCGAATTCTTTCAACACTTCTCCATACGTATCAAGGAAAAATATATGAGGGTTACATGAAATATCATATCAAGGTCATATGAAAAAACATATCAAACACTAAAAAGAACCCCTCATTTAGTAAGGATATTATCTTACTGCGTATCTCCTGTACCAGGAAGCAATCACAATCTGGCTTTTTTTCATTAATAAGAAGCGTGTGCGGCACTTCCAACCTCTATAAATCTTCTCAATTAGAGTAGCCAAGTCCTCCAGCCGCTGCTTTCTCAGATCTTCTAGTTTGAAGAGCTGGGTGTGGGGTTTTTTAGGGTTTTGTTTGACGTTGGAAGAAAAACAGAAGGGGAGAAAAGACCAAAAAACCCATAAGCACAGCTATTGTAAGAGAAATCTCTCCTTTATTCAAGTCCCCCTTCAGACACCTTTTGGTTTACTCACGTTCAGAGCTGTAGGCAGATACATTACCAGGGTTTGTGGCAGATATGTTGCCACAAATCAGTGCACGAAAGTTACATTAAATTCAGGCTGACAGCTATTGTAGAGTCTTGATTCACATCAATTTAATGGGTCTAACATTAAAAAGTGACTTTTTTGATGCTATATTCCCCACCAGCATATCCACAGCACTGTATCTAGAAAAATCTGCACTAACCAGCTTATGAATTACACAGTTCAGAACAGGCTATCCTCATGAAAGATGGCTTGATTTTGCAGGCGACGACATTTTTCACTTACCGTTCTTGGGTTGCGGATGAATATCTTTGATCTACCAAATGAAAATTCTTCTTCAGGGATTTCCAATTCATTAAACAGTACCTCTACTCCAGCCCTAATAAGAAGTAAATGAGTTTAACAAACATGATCCCCAGCTCTAGAACTTCTTAGCTTACACATTCACAGATTAATTTATGGAAAGTATATGAAAGCATATTTTAAATTCTTAAATAGTGCTTGGCATAACAAGATTGAAAACCTAACTCATTTACTTACTCGTTATTTAGCTAAAGGCAAGAATAATCACTGTGAAGATTCAGAATAATTTGATGAAAAAAGAGCATTTTATTTAACATCATCAGCAATGGCCTATTTTTTCCTCTTACATCTATAATGATTTTACTTTAAAAAAAAAGGAAAGGAAAAAGGAAGGAGGCCCACACTAACGTCAAAATGTGAAATAAAGACTGATGAGTTTCATAAATGCTAATGTTCCACACTGTACCAACTGCATTTTATAAACATCAACAAAAAAGACAGGCACTGCATAGATCTTTGTAATGATGTATTTGTTATCAATACTGCACTTCCACCATTATCTTGATTAGCTACAATTTAAATCTTTAGATTAAGATATTAATCTATTATGAAGGAAATTTAAATCATGCTATCGGTGGTAACGTCTAAAAAGAACTGAGAAGCTCATTTGCCTACCCAAGACGTCATCTGTAAAAATACATGTGAATACTGTGCAATTTAAAATGATGTATTTAATACAATTGATTTGCAAGAGGTATTATCTCATAGTTGTTCACGAATCATTATGTAAAATTATTCTTGAAAGGAGAGAGGAAAATTGCGTCACTGTCTTCAAAGAAATGGGTGTTCCTACACTGAGAGTTGGTTATTAAAGATAAGTGTCCTTCTGATCACTCCAGACCCCCTCGTCGTTTTAACTCCACTCCAGTATCTCTCTCTCTCCCCCCGCCTTTCTTTCAGGCCCAATATATTATAAAAACAATGTGCTCTCCTTTCTCAAATATCTTTTCCATTAGTAGATTAGTTCATCTCTAAAATCATCTCCTTTGCCACAGAATTGTGATTTTTAGCCTACTGAAAAGCATATGTTTCCCAGTGAATGAACTCATCCAAAATCTGGAACAAGATGTTAAGAAACAATATACAAGTAAAACACTTGAGCCACACTGGCTTAGTTTTTAATTTACTTTCAAAATATTTAAAGTTCACAAAATGAAACAAAACAAAACAAAGAGAACACATGGAAGATAGTGATTTCAATCATTGGAACAGGACAAATAAGAATACTGATGTTTTCCTACCTGGCTGGCCCTCTCCAGTGGGGCCATGTCTGTTTACACAGCATTTTGTACCTTTCCAGGCAAGGCTCATATGCCTGCCTGAATGCATAACCTGCCCTTCTGACCCGGACATTCTCCAGAAGACCAAGGTAGCGGATCTGGTGGCACACCAGAGCATCATTGAAAATGTGTGCAGCCTTTTTGTCATTGGGTTTGATGCACCTGAAAAGAGAAATGAACAGGGACACTTGTTTGCTGCACTGTACGCATCAACAGCTATTACTGTGAATTTAAACCATAGATTTCAATAGTTTATCTTTGGATATAAAGATTAATTTTATTTTTTATTTTATTTTTTAACTTCACCAAACATAAATTAATCAAAGCTTTGCCACAGGGTAATTTACCTGATGTAGTTTGGATTTTTTGTCTGAAGATTTTTCATCAGGGTAGCAACAGAAGCCTTGAACTGTGAACCTGCCGTTGGCGGTCTCTTTAGATTGATCTTAGCGGGGTTACCTTCTGGGAACAACGCTTTGATAAGAGAGTGACTGGCCTTCCACATGGCCTGGGAGAGGTCACGGTACAGAAGATCGTTATTTTTGTCGACAAATCCTTCCACCTGGTACATAACCTGAACAATACAGAAGAATCTCATCAGAGTATGTTTTGAACTATAACATAGGACAGTTCAAAATTGAACCAAAAAATTGATTTCTTCTCCTTTCTCACTATCCAAAACAAATTAAAGACATTTCAGCTTTCGTTTTAAATTTGACATTTGGAAGACTTTTTATTGGATAAAATTTCTGTGAACATGCTTCCTGAGAAAGATACATTTTGTTACACTGCTAACAGTTCTTTGTGCTGATCAATTCTGGTTTCTGAAATGAAAAACACACTTCTGTGACAACTCTGATACACCAGCCCTTGCCAATGCCCCAAAACAATCTTTTTTTGGCTGACAAAAGGTTTTCTCCCTCCCTTTTTCAAAAGCAACAGCAAAAATACCCTTTCCCTTCAAAATACTAATGCTTACATTATTTGCCTAACTAAAACAAGATATAAAATATCTCTTGATATCGCAGCAGCAAGCAGCTATTTATGCAGTCCTCAGGGGACTGTAATTTTAAAGGACTTTTACCAGGAAACAGTCCAAAGCATGAGTGCAAAGCTCTGATCTGCAGTTGGGAGACCCAGGAGGCATCCAGGGGACCTTCATGTAGATCTCACATTGCTACTGGCTTTTTTAATTTTTGAGGGTAGGGAATTTAGATTAATTGTGACAAGTCATCTGGCTGGTAATACAGATTCTTCAGCTTCATGATTTCACAGTTCTGTGTAGCTACACAGAATATTGAACAAAACTAATATTGACGTATTTTGCACAACAGCAAGCAACTGTGAACTCAGGTGACATTTTTCTTTGGAGTACACATTTCTGCTTCTGACAGGTGTGGCAAATGCAACTACTGAAAAAACTGTTCAGATGAACTTTGCTTATATTTCATAAAAGGAGAGTCAGACTTTTGTTGTCCAGGGACTAGATCAAAATGTTCTCAGCTGAGGATGGAAAAAAAACATTCCTCCCAAAATAGGAAGAATTCACTGACCGCTGTGTTGGGTAAGTGAATGCCAGTAATAATTGAAGACCCTCACTAGCTGCTAAGACACAATCTGTTTGCAGTCCTTTTCAAAGCACTATTTTCAATTCACTTTGAATTTTGACAACCAAAGAATTATCTAAGTATTAATCCCTGGCAGATTATATGCAATTACAAAATATTCTTAGCAAATACATGAAGTTAATGAATGGCTGCCTCAAAGGCTGGAAGTATGATATTTCCAGCACTATTTTGAATGAGCAAAGGTATTCTCAAGGTATTCAAAATTGTAAGATTGAGAAAATGTTAAAAACTAGAGAAATATTAAGCAGTTCTAGGACAATGAAACACTTTCCAAATATTCATTAATCTGTGAAACTACCAGTTCAGCAGATTCAAACAAGAGGTATAGTTTCAACCCCTATGCTTTTAAATTTTTTTAAAAATAAGTTGCCGTCTTTTTACAAATTTAATTCTTTTGATTTTCATTAATAAAAAGTCATACTGAATTATACATCAAAACTATCAGACTTGTATTTATGCATACTGCCTATGTTGTAAAAAGCAAATACATTTGCGAGCCCTCTGTATAGCCTTCTCTTCCATCTGTTTAAACACAGAGGCTGTCAAAATAAACTCAGTTCCTTCAAATGTACAAAAACTCCACTCTCTCATCAACATGACTAAAGACTTCAGCTAGTTCAGTGACAAAGAATATGTTTTCCAAAATATCTTGCCTTCAGATGTGTGTGAATTTTTGTCATTCTAAACAACATTTTTATTTCCAGAGACCTAGCAGCACAAGTAGTTCAACACCAAATCGCATGGGATATCTTTCTCCTTTGCTGAAAGGAGTACTGCCCTTGATTTCAGCTAGAGCAGCATAATCTTCGAAAACCTTCCAGCTCAAATCACGAATCTTAGGCTTAAAATGGAAAATATTAAGACAAATCTGGATTTTTTCATCAAGTATTGACTCAAGCAATTCTCCTTCATTACTGTAGCATCATTTAACGGACGAAGAGCCTCCCCATTGTACCAGGTACAATGCCCCCCAATCACTGTGTACTTTCTGCTTCACCAGGTACCTTGCCAGCATAATGCTGAATCCTGAAGCAGCTGTGAGGCAATGAGGTGTCATTGAGGAACCGGGAGCACTTGCTCATCCTGCTCTCAAAATGCTGGTGAGTAGCACAGACTTGGTTCAGTTTTTCTAAAAAGGTGTCATCTGTAACAGTTCCTGGTCTCAGGCATTCTTCATCTAGCATGGCCAGGATTCCAGTTTGGTTCTGAAGGTTCAAGACAAGAGCTTTAGTGTTTGTTTCCATCACATTTCCATCAAGGCGCAAAAAGAAAAAGACCACCGCTCTCTCTTGTTTTACTTCTGCCACCCAGAAAAAGGTTCTTCAAGCCATATCAAAACTTGGCCCTTTTCCTCATCCCCATTTCCAACAGATTTTTAGTATGTGCGTTTTTGAAAGACTGCTTCCGAGATCTGAATCTTGAACTTCATGTTGGAATTTCGTGTCATTTTCTCAGACTCTAGAAACTCCAACTTAACTGCAAGTAGCCAGTTTATGGGTAAAACCAGCATACGTTTTATGTTAATGGTTAAAACTGTTCTTTTCCAATTGTTAAGGAATTTTATCTTGCTGCGCTAAGTCCATAGGAAGCCCTCTTATTAGATACAAGTACTTTCTGTACCTAAAGCACTCTGTAACAAGTAATTAAGTTTTCTAGTTTCCATCTAAAAAGAAATGTTATTTACAATGCCGCATGTGATATCTGCTATTGAAAGCAGCACTAAATGTAAATATTTAAGGGTTGTTTGGGTTGGGGTTTTTTTGCATAGGTGCTGCTGAACATTTCTAACAAAGTAACATATAGTCTTATTACAAAGAATTTTTTTGTAAAATAAACTTTTACCATTCAAAATAAGATGACTAATACAATGAGTGGCTTGTTTTATAAAACCAAAGTGCGTGAGGATGCGTGCAGACTTCACAGCTAAATTCAATCCATACATTAAAAAATTATTCAGAGAGATTCTTGAATATAACTTACGTTTTCTATCAGGTCACAAATTATAGCATTGTTGAAATACTCAATGTGAGTCCATTCAATTCCCTATAAGAAAAAATAAAAGTATGAACAGGAAAACAATTGAGGGAGCTTTTCCTCTACACAATTTAAATTATATTTCAGTTAACTACGATAACTACTTTCAAATGTAATTCTATACGCTTACCAACATTTTATTTATTAAGAAATACAATGACCTACGAGTAACATTATCTGCTCAAAACGACTGTCCTTGAGCAGCTGGCAAACCCGCTCTCCATTCCTTTCCCCCACCCGTGTCAGCTTCCCATGCACTCCCCTGGCGCCCCGCCAGGCCCCTCCCCAGCACCGCCCTGCCCACGCTCCCACTGGTTACAAGCAAATAAGCCCATTTCACAGCAAGCATCCCAGATCAAAATTTCTAAGCTCTTGGTTGTTAGGGTTTTGTTTTGTTTTTTTTTTTTAATGGGAAGAAGAAAGAGGGCTAAATTTAGATGAGACCATCTGAAAAACCCAGAGTCTGGCTGTTGTTCAGATATTCCTAATATTCTAATTTTTTCAAATATCAGCGATAAAATTTCCAGGATGAGATACCAACGCATCAGGAGATAACACTGGTAAGACAAAAGACTGGTAAAAGAAAATACTAATTTTATTCTTAATTTGCATTCTGTGGTACATCTTGCAGTTTAGTTTTTTCAGTGTTTGAAATATTGTTCAGGAAGCAAATTGCAGTAATGATGTTTCAAGAGTTTCACCACTGAATGCCGAAAGAAAAAAGACATGCCCAAACTTCATATTATCCTCAGGATTATAAGGCAGGAACATTACTAAATTTTTTAAAATGTTTACCCAGCAAAATGGTATCATCCAATTTGAGTACGAACAGCGTATGCCAGTTTCTACAGCTGTGAGCTGGTATTTTGTCTGAGCTCTGTATATCACGGGGAGCAGTACTAAAAACTATTAAAACTTTAACTTGATGTACACTTACAGAATAACATCAGAGTCTGAGCTCCAAAGCACATCTTAAAATTTACCTTTAAAGCTTACACAGCTCCCTTCAATACTTAACTGAAAGAAAACTAGAACCAACATCTATTTGTAGTTTCTTTCATCTTGCATGCTTTTGTTTCACCCTCCCAATTCCCTTTTGAAACAGGATTAGCTGCAGCCAGTGTCAGGGAGTATCCCAGATGCTACTGTGTAATCCAAAACACAGACTGTAGGCTAATGGCACTAATACCAGAAAGCAATATTAGTCTTCCAATGAATTAATTAGCCCTTGCTCAGAACTGCCAATCATTGTTCCCAATGAATAAGAGTTGGGTCTGATTTATACCTGGAGAACTCAGCATGTGAAACAAAACCAAAACCAACTTGTTTTACTTAACGTAACTACCACGCGGTCCTGCACAAACATACCCCATGCCAGGCCCGTGGTCAAAAACGGACTGGTCTCTGAAAAGAGGACCCAGCATGCACGCCTGTGTATCTTCATTACGGGGACAACAGGAAGAGGAGAGGATAAGGAAAGATCCACTAAGTATTACCTCTCGGATGTACTCCTCCTGCTCTTCTTTGAGGGTAAGTTCAATGAAGATCTGCTGCAGCTTCTCATTACAGTAGTTGATAATGAATTGCTCAAAGCTGTTGTCCTGTCAGATAAAACATGTTTGCATTTGCTGTTGTGTAAACACCCTGGAACTCAGCTGGAGTAAGTTACTGCAGCAGCTGCAAGTCAGCAAGCTGCTTTATTAACTACTCCTTCCAGCTTTGCAATGTGATGGTTTGAGTACTATTTTACTGAGAAAATTTTAGACCAAATCCTTCCCTGAGGCTTTCTCCATTGGGAGGGACAAAAACTTCATAGGTTTATATTCATGATGTCTCTGTATCGATTCCTTGGGACAAGTAACGAGGAGGCCTGTGGTGTCAGGGAATAAACAACAAAAGTTTTTCCTGCACTATTCTGTCCCCATGTGTAAAACGTAGTCACCTGCAGGTTCTGATAAATAAAATTATGAAGGCTGCATTAGCTCTTTTCCAGCCAGGATCACTCAGTAGCAAATCAAGTATCCTATTTCACCACAGACGGAGGCCCAACCTGTTATTCTGGTGGTGGCAGAGCCTGGGTTAAGAGAGACTCCAGAGGTTAACCCACCTCCTCCCTCCCAATGAACTGCTCATGTAATTGCCCCCTGAAATGGTGGGATTTAAGAGAACTTTGTCAACCAAAAATCCTTTAAAAGGCTAGCTCTTATAAAACTAGGTTAGGGAGCAAGCATCCACAGACTAGATCTAAGGCAGAAATTTTTCACAAAGAGGGTGGTGAAACCCTGGCACAAGTTGCCCAGAGAGGTGGTAGATGCCCCATCCCTGGAAACATCCCAGGTTGGACAGGCTCTGAGGAACCTGATCTAGTTGCAGATGTCCCTGCTCACTGCAGGGGGGTTGGACTAGATGCCCTTTAAAGGACCCTTCCAACCCAAACGATTCTGTGATTTAATGATTCTGTGTGACCCTTTGCAGAAGGGACCGGAGCAGACCCCAGAGAAGGGGTGGCAGTGGGAAGGCTGCTCAGCAATTGCAGCCCCAGCAGCCTACTCCGACGCAGCCGCACGGCAGGACTGCTGCAGGAACAGGGCCGTGACATTACAGCAGCACGCTTCCAGAAGGACACACGTCAGCATCGGAAACGATGGTGGCTGCAGCTGGTAAAGCCCTCATGCTCAAGTCAACTGAAGTTTTACTGCTAACATCACCAGGGCCAGGATTGCAGCGTAAAAGCTGTGGTTCACCACTTCATCTCTATCATCTTAAATGAGTGCAGTCTGGAGGCCAAGTGTCCGTTCTGAGGATGGTTTAAAATGCCCATTTCAAAGAAAAAGGGAACCGCAGCTTCACTGTTTTTTTCCCAGTGCTTGAAAGAGTCATTAATATTGCAACAATTCCATACGTGTACCTGCAGAAATAACTGCAATCAAGAGTAATTTTGGATATCTACTGACGGTCTTCTCAGCTTCGTGGTTGTGGGGTACCCTCCTCTCTGCTCTTTTTTTTTTTCCTTTCTTAATTACGGGTCATCAAGAACACTTTGGTTATTTAGGAAGCCTGAAAATTTACAGAATAAACCACTATGCCTTTTTACACTATCAAATAAGTCTGCTGTATAATACCTGTGAAGTTCAAATTACAGTGATAGAATTTTTATGACTAAGGGCAACTGCAATCATTTAAATGTTTAAATTAAGGATGTGGTTGCTAAATGAGATTAAGAACACACAAGCAGATTAGAAAATATTGAGGTAGCACAGATTACTTTTATCATTTTAGTTTTAGGTAAAGAAAAATCATAGCCGATCACCAAACTTTCTCAGCCACATCAAACTCTGCCCCTCACACCAGTTGCAATTATCAGAGATTGCAAAACTTGCACAGCTCTAGATGAGAAAGTTAAAATTTGGCATGCATCAAAATCAGCACTGCAAACAAGTCATACTTACTGCATTCTGTTGCAAAAAGAAATTACATAAACTGCAGTCAGTACTTATACTACTTCCACAACAACACAGAATACATCTATTAGCATTTATTTAGCATACCAAGTAGATTAGTCCTTTTATCAGACTCCTATTTGTATATCACTGAAAATGTGATGTACTACATAAATGTTATGTATTACTTCTTTGACAGATAAGTGTATCTTTAGGTACTACCCAAAGATTATCAAATAAACCAAGAGATTGAGGCATATCAGAGTGTAACACAGAACAGCATTCTTGCATTTTCACATCTCTAAATCACCGTGTAACTTTTGTCCCAAAGAGCCATACATGTAACCATCGGTAGACAAATCTCAGTAAAGGGAGAGGAGAATGGGAAAGAGAAGAGAGTACTGGAGGAAGAATAAGTACAAATTTAATTTATACATTCAGATAAGACCACCAGTTCAGATATATTGAGTTTGAAGTAAAAGGACCCCAACTGACACATCATCATGGCAAAGACGAGGGTAAAACAGACTCTGCACCCTCCTGCCAGGCACATGCCACCCAAAGCAGAAAGATTGTTTCTTCAAAAGACCACGTTATTCCAATTACAAGGAATGCAGGACTTTTTGATCATGTATTACACACAGTCTTTGCCTTCAAAAGAGGATGGAGAATCAACTGCAACTCCAGCTAAACCGTCTAACTAAAATGTCATTAATATATTGAAGTAACTGCTAAGTGCTTTCCTGTTTTGCTATGTATCTGTGATATTTATGGTTTGCCAAAGAAAGGCAAACCAAAACACAGAGTTCTTCACAAATCGCTCTAAGCTATGAAATTCTATTTGACGTTGCCAAGCCACTGAAAATTGCCATTCCAGGAAAAAAAAGTCATTGAAAAGCAGTAGTGATTTTGGTCTTTATGTACAATGCAGAGCAAAAGGCTATCAGTTAATTACAAGAAAGAAAATGAGGAAAAATGTTTGAAATTAGTGAAATTCTCAAAACACTTAACTCTGTACAGGCCAGAAGACATTTGGTAAATTAAATACAATTCAGAAAGAGACATTTCCTACAGGTTTTAAGAAACACTGTATGAAAAAACAATTGGAGTTCTTATCTCTGGACATATCTGAGTAACGCAACAGACATTCTGTGAATTTATTCTCCCTTATTGCATATCTATAATTTTTTATTATGCGAGGGTTTAACAAATCATAGATTAATGTTCACAAATGATTGTCCCTCAGTATTTCAATGAAGGCTCCTAGAAATTAATGTGATAGAACTAGAAGGGATCTAAAGGACATCTGACATTGTTTTTTAGAAAACAATAGAGACTGCTTAATATCAGTGACAGCATGTCACTAGTTCAAGAGAAGCAGGCTGGGAGGACCATCATCAAGAGACTGTACTTGCTCCTTATGCTGGCGTTACATGCTAGAAGGGGTTTCGACAAATACAGAAGGGGCATGGTCAGACCCAGAATTTCAGGAAGAATTAGTAAATTCAAATATTCTTAGGAAATTTTAGGAAAAAAAAAAAAAAATTAAGCCCAGCATTTCTCAAAAGCTGAAAAGTGTCAGCTTCCCTTCCAGGCTGTTATTCTGCTACTTTAATGCTGAGACCATCACTTCAATCCCTGCTTTTTTATAGCAGCATTTCAAACTATCCCTTTGAAATCACTGTGGAATACAAAATGTAACCTTTGAGTAACTAAAAAACACTCAGTCTCTCAAATTAAATTAAAGGTGCTGGGAAACAGAAAGTCAGCTGAGATAGGCTTAAAGTCATGTCAAATTTATCGATACAGATCGGCCAACCACACTCAGCTTATCCTCTCAATCTTTTATCAGATGCAACAAAAAATTTAGACAAGTAGAAAAATTCACTAACAAAAATCAAAGCCTACTTCACCGTGTTTTTCACTTCACAAATAACGGTGTCTTGCTCATACAGTTTTATTCTTTATCAATCTTCAAATTACTGGGCATCAGGGTTGCATTTCATGAATAGCAAATTTTGAACTCTAAAAAAATTCTGCTCCATGCAAAATTACAGCTTTTATATAAACAAGCAGATCACAATGTTGTAATCAGGTTGTCAGAGTCAACCATGAAAAGATAAAAAGTTCTATTTTTGAACGACTGCTATTACATGAATTACATACAGGTGGCTTTAAAGTCTAAGGAAAGTATTTTTTTGTTCCTTAATATTTTGCCCAATTTCTTCTTTGGAAGATTCCAGTCGTGTATCATGGAATTATCTGCAAAAACTTATATGGAATCATAGAATCATTTAAGTTGAAAAAGACCTGTAAGATCATTGAGTCCAACTGTAAACCTAATACTGCTAAGTCCACCTCTAAACCACGCTCTTAAGTGGTGCATCTACATGTCTTTTAAATACCTCCAGGGACGGTGACTCAACCACTTGCCTGGGCAGCCTGTTCCGATGCTTGACTATCTGTCCTAGCGCAACTTGAGGCCATTTCCTGTTGTCCTATCACTTGTTACTTGAGAAAAGAGACCAACACCCACTTTGCTACAACTTTCTTTCATTGTGGAGAGCGATAAGGTCTCCCCTCAGCCTTCTTTCCTCCAGACTAAACAATGCCAGTTCCCTCAGCTGCTCCTCATAGTACTTGTTCTCTAGACCCTTCACCAGCTTCGTTGCTCTTCTTTGACCATATGGATGTTCTTGATCTTATACATTGTTATACCAGTAAGACACATATAGCAAACAGACAAAAAAAAAAAAAAGCTAAAAAGTCTCTTACTGATCTCAAGCAGAAATGTCTCAATATGCTGATGCTGAGTGTCATTTCTTGCATTAGATTTACAAACACAAAATATCTAAACCAGGGCTTTTTTCTAAGAAAGCCAGCCCACCTCCTAATCTTCTCTCCCCATAAAGAATTCAAACTCATTTTTCAGTACCCAGTTTCCAGTGATCTCAAGAGACGAAGGCAACTAAAATACCTACTTCAAACTGAAAACTGGGTACTTTTCCATATTAGTAGGTAGGAATAAATTCTTATCTTCCACCCATCTATGTTGCCTGCCCAATAAAGTCCAGGTTTAAGTGTTCCATTTTCTTCTGTCCTTTCCACTTCGCTGTTTTCACCAAATTGAGCAGATTTTCTTGATCCAAATCTACAGACTC